TAGTGACACTTTTTCCCACTTCAACGGTCCGAAATCTGAGCCGTGGACGGTCCGAATCCCAAACGGACTGTCCGACAGTCCTTGCACACGATTGGAGGGCGACGCAAAAACTGTCGAGTCACCTCGTCCACCAACAAAAACGTACGAGGCTACTTCACGAATCGACATTGACCAACCAGAGACAACCCATAAACAAAAATGATTCGATAACGACATTTGCGAGCTTGAGAGAATTGCGTAACGCTTGTACAGTGATCGCGAAACTGTACATTATGAAAAAGTGTCACAACTGTCTTCGGACAGTCCGAAGTTGCAAAAAAGTCAGTCGGACGGTCCCGTTCTCGATAGGTGGACCGTCCACTTCGTTTTAAGCGGACTGTCCGTCAAAATCGTAAAATGCAAAATGGTTACGCGCCCTAAGACAAGTTTCTCGATAGGGGCGTGATGTCTAAAAGGGTGTTCTTTAGCGACTCGTTCAGCGCGTCGCGTGTTCAGTCTGATGGACGGACTCAGCGTCGTCCACCTCGCGCGGCCCGATTCTAAGTCTTGCTGGATTGGGGTTCCACGTCGTCATCGAATGGCTGAGACACGCTCCAGCAGGAATAATCGACTTCCTGGAGCCGAGTCGAGACAAGGCGACTCGCCGTTACGCCGATATGTCTGGCTTTCGGCGCTTCTCCCCGCCTGCGATTGCTACTTTTATCTGCTGCCGGTCCGCTCGGTCTCCCCTCGCTGCGCTTCCCCGTCATATCCGGCGGCGGTGCGCCGTGCTCTCTCAGCACAACGGCGGCCGCCCCGTGAGCCTCGAAACTGCCCCTGACGTTCGCTTGATGCTGTCAGAAGCGTTGGGGAAAAAAAAATATAGAAGAGTTACAAGGTCAAGATTGACGCGACAGGGCGAAATACTGCACTACGCAACGCAGTGAAACTGGCGAGATCAATTGCGCACGCTGGCGATTAGTTCAATGCTCCTAGACAGGTGAGTGTTACACTAGACTGAACGGTCTGTTTTCATTGTTTTTCTTCGTCACTCCACTTCCTCGACCTTCTTCCCAAATATCCCCTCTCCTTCCCCCACCCCTCTCCCTACTCCCCCACTCCCCCGCCCCCCGTCTCCTCCCCTCTTCCCGGTTTTCTCAAGCTATCTGAGTAGGTATGGCCGATTAGATTTTTTCAAACCATCTTGTGTGCACTCTGTGTTGTGTTCTCATCTCGGCTTGGATTCTCTTCCCAGGCATAAGCTGCTGCCATCTTTGTCTTAATGTCGCTCTTTTTCTTCCCTGTACTTTCGTTCCAGTGGCCGTATATGGAACCCTTAGTAGATACACCAGTGAATTCATGGCACGAGCTGGACATTTATATACTTTAAAAGGTTGGGTTGCTCATCTGCCTGAATTCCACCTTTCCCTCTCCAGCCGAACAAGGTGTATGCTTGCACGTTCTAGAAGAACCTGCCAGCGTCGGCCTTCAAGGGATATTGTAGGCGCCTGCCACTCACCAGCGTGAAGCTCAAGGCCTCCAATGGTGACGTCTGCCAACCTCAACCAGTGCGATGGCAACAACTGACTCTGCCCTGAGCACCGCCGCTGCCTGCTCTTCCCCAGCCCATCCCTTGTGGTAAGTAGTGTCTACGAACGTGTGTGATAGTATGCTCTTCCACGTTGCTCACTGCCCTGCCTTCACATGCTCACTGTGTGTTAATTTCGTCTCACTGTGCTCACATCTGTGACTGAAACTGAACACCCTTTCTGTGTCATATGGAGTGCATATGAGATGCCTGAATAGTGGGTGGGTTGACCGATGCTTAGAAGTTAGAAATAGTATCTCTATTTCCAGCGTGAAAGCTGCTGGTCGATCGATGCTTTGGTGTATAAAACCTTTTTTGGGAGTCTCTTTTGGTATTGGGTACTAAGAATCCGAAATATAATTTAGAGAAGTACTACCGTATGTACAGTGCTGGACACCAGAGAAGGCCTGAATGTGATGAGGATGCGGGGTTGGAAGCTTCTGAGAGAGGCAGGGTATTATTTTGAGTTCTCAAAATTGCCCTGCAGGGGCGAGAATGTTTCTGCGGAATGATGAACTCTAATTCCATGGGCTCTCCCAACCGTCCCCTTCCAACACTCAATCTCCCTCATTCTCCCTGCGAAACACAAGGGACGAAAGGGAGGAGGAGGGTCGCCCTGGTGGCGCACTCTTCCATCTCTCCTACCCCCACTGCCCCCTCACTCCCCCATACCGTATTTTCTCCCCCCCACCTTCCTTGCCCCACTTTTCCTCTCCCCTACTTCCTCCCCGTCTCCTCATGAGTGGAGGCTGAGATGACCGGTAGCCGGGGGTGTTTTCAGTGCCGCAATTTTTACTCTAATTCCCCAGATCCTTTCAACCCCCGTCATTTTCCCCTCCCCCCTTGTTGTCCCCATCCCTCAGGGCTGGAATGGAATCTGCAATACAAGGGGGGCGAGTGGAACGAGGAGGGTGTCATTTGTGCCCCACTCCCTTCCTCCTCATTTCCACCCCTTCTCCTCACCTTGCTCTACCCCTTGTTCCCCCCCATCTCACCCAGGGGTGGAAGCTGCAATACAAGTGGGACGAGGAGCAGCTGAGGGTGTTTGGAAAGCAGTTGCTCCTTGTTCTCTCGACAGTTCGTGGTGCCGCACCCCCACAACGAGAAAAAAGGAGTGTTTTGAGACGTCTCAAAAAACGAGGAGCAGCTGAGGGTGTTAGGGGAGCAGTTCTCTCGACAGTCTGTGGTGCCGCACCCCCACAACGACCCCAGCTGACTGCTCACAATCACGCAGTTCTATGTGCTGTTAGGCACCTCAAATATAGAATACACTACCACAAAGACCCCGGCTGGCTACTCACAGCGGAACAATACTTTGCCAGGAGCTCACAGCTTATCATGCACACAATGTTTCACAATCTCGTTCAGGCCTCCCCTCCCCTCCCCCCCCCGTTTCAGTTTCTGTCATTCCTTCCGGGTAGCAGCACGGCACACACACAAGAACATCACCGGGGTGGCTTTTCAGCATCATCGATGGGCTTGGGCCAGAGCAAACCGTACGCCCGAGCCAGAGCCGGTAGTTTGGACAGTGAGGCTGTGCAGGGTGCACTCAGTGCAGGCTCTGCAGGTGGAGGTGCAATGTCGGGTGGATTTCACCAGCCGCTTGTGGCTTGGGAACGAAGACCTTGAGGTCTGGTACTGAACCGGGATCAGGAACTAAATACCTGAGGAGTGTAATTTACCCTGTTTGTGGAGGTGGCCTCTCGTTGGTTTCTTCACCTAGTCATGTGAATGGTACATGCTTGCTTCCTCAATTGGTCACCTCAGTCATGCATGTAGGTGTAGTTGGTATACACCAGGCCCAGTCAATCAACCCTCAAACCCATGCATTCTAGTGTGCGCATTCAATATTGGTTACCGGTACTACTATGCAAGGGCGAGTAGTATCTACTGGTCATGAAAAGCGATGCAGCATTGACATGCTATAACGTACAGACACCCACATCAGCAGGCCCTCAGATATCAGCGTAAAACACGCTGATTACGCTGATTTTGTAGCTCAGATTTTCGTTTTCCCTGAAAATTCAGCATATGCTTCAAATTTGCACTGAAATTTCAGTATAACATACCTTGCCACACTGACCATTTTCCGTGTTGCTGTACAAGTAGCACTGACGAATCAGTGTAGTGTCGTGAGTCACACTGAAACGGACTAGACCGATTCGGGGTGGTACGCGTGTGTACAGTCTGTACCTGGCCCGGGATTCACAAGACCCCACTAGGCTGTACCTGGCCCGGGATTCGCGAGACCTCACTCACACACTTAACGATGCATGCGCTGTACAGATCGCGTGCCGACGTGTTCTGCATCGCTGGAAGGAGCTCTCACAGCGACAAATTTTGAACGGGAAATTCAACTTTGTATTTCTTTTTTACACTGATGGTTCAGTTTACTTATAACTTTTACAGTGGCAAAATCAGTATAAAGAAAACCATGAACGCTGATTTGGACACCTGGGCGACCGGGGCACGTTAATCCATCAGCATACCCTCAAACCAATCTGAGGGCCTGAGCATGCATCTCCCCTCTTCAGTGATCACAACATTGCACGAACCCATCGCAATACACTAGCACTACACCCATACGGTATGCGTCTTACTTCACCTTTGTTATAACCTTCCCACAGAGAGCAAACGCATTACCTGCACGTCAGGGCTCTTGCTAACTATTTGGGCCGTCTGATGAAAAAGTAAATTTTTTTTTTTAGTCTGACCATCATATGAGGGATTCTGGGTGATCTGATTTTCAGATGAAATATTTAAGGCCGTCTGTGAAAACGTATTAATAAAGTTTAACGTGCAATTACATTTGTGTGGATGGCGGAGTTGGTTTGATTTGAACGCGGACTCCGTCGGTAGTGGGATCGACTCTTGTGAGGGGGGTCTCGAGCTTCTTTGTTTTCCCTTAAGTTATCAGACAGATGTATCCTCGCTGTCTGGAAACTCATACGAAATATAATCTGTGTCCTGGAAAAACATGTGAGTATTAACAGCTTATCTGGGCTCTCATATGAGCCGCATTTTTTTGTCTGCGAGAACATATGAACAACAAAAAATGCGACTGAAATCTAGACCAACAGACTAAATTAGTCTGATAACGAGAGTCCTGCTGCACGTCCTACAACTGCATGTGATGACGTCACAAATCTCCCCAAAACACCGCGGGCCTCGAGCTCCGTCGTAGCAATGACCTCGTCGTGCATAATGAAGCTGTAACGCCTGCGGCGTGCAGCCTTGGGACTTGTTATGTTAGCCATAGAATACTTATCAAGTTCAGCTGTGAAGCAGGAACGTGCCGCACCGAACTGCGGATAGTCTCCTCCTTTGAGGTTTAGGAACTGGAAATCGATTAGAACTCTGAAAGAGGTTGCAGAGTACCTGGCAGCAGGACAAGCAAGGAGAGCTCAAAGTCAGGGAACACTTTTGAGTCAACTCAAAGGTCACCGACATTTAGGAACTGGAAATCGATTAGAACTCTGAAGGAGGTTGCAGAGTACCTGCCAGCAGGACAAGGAGAGCTCATAGTTAGACAACACTGCCATGGGTCATCATGATCCTCTACGTGTACTGCCATGGCGCATCATGCTCCTTCAGGTGTACTGCCATTTCCATGGTATATCATGTTTCTTCAGGTGCACTGCCATGCCATGGCATATCATGCTCCTTCAGGTGCACTACGGTACCATGGCTCCCTCAGAGTGCAGTGTACCATTGGCGCCATTGCACCATAGACTCCTCCCTCTCCACTGCTAACTCCTTACCAATACCCTCAAGAGCACACTACGGTTGTTTGCATGCAAAATTCACTGTAACTCCATAAGAGCAGTGCCAGCACTACTAGTGGAACACGCGAACAAGGGGCAGGAGCATACCTCACTGCCTTCAGCACGATTTTCCCTGAAGCTCCTGCGTCGCCGACTACTTTCCCGTTGCGCTTGGTAGGACTCAGCTTGGCCACGTATTTCACTATAAACGGGGATCACGGACGGGATAGGGGAGACGGGAAGTCAATGACTAGCTGAAGATTTCTGGGCTGAATTTTTAACGGAAATGTGAAGGATCAGGAAGCCTGGGAAATGAATGACTCTGTAATTTGTTCATGGATGGCTGTTACGCAAGAACAAGCATGACTTGACATGATGTCACACCAGCTGTAGCACACACCATCTGTAGCACACACCATCTGTAGCACACACCATCTGTAGCACACACCGGCTGTAGCACACACCAGCTGTAGCACACACCAGTTGAAGCACACACCATGGCATACACCGGCTGTAGCACACACCAGCTGATGCACACAATGGCTGTAACACAACCCAGCTGATGCACACATTGACTGTAGCACACACCGGCTGTAGCGCACACCGACCGTAGCACGCAACGCACATCAGCTGCAGCACACAATTCTGCTGCAGCACACACATCAGAAATTGATGAGCGCAGTTGCACGAACGTGGAAACATTTCAGCAATTACTGCTACCAGTGTTTTCACCGCGCGCGGATTACACAGTCACCGCGTTTCTGCAGTGCCTGATAACGGTGCTGTCAAACACGCGTTTGCCAAATCGTCCGCCATTACTAGTACTGACGGCTAATGCACTTACCCATTGTCTTTCCCTTCCAAACTAGGGGCTTGGTCGCCTGAGCGGCTGAAGCGGCAGAAGACCCGCCGTCTTGAGAGAGTAGCGGGGCGAATGATGTGGCAGACGCCGCGCCGTAGGCAGTGCAGACAGTCGCACCTGCAGGCAGCACCGTGCTGATTTGAGAGTTAGTACATGACGAAACTACCTCGAGGTTACTATCCGTCCGGGATCGTGAACAGTTGCAGTCAATGTCTCACGCAGCGGCTTTTTTACGTCTCAAAAAAACGAAAACTGTAAGAAGTCGCAGTCAATGACGTTTTTTCATCAGAAACAGAGGAGGCAGTACCAGGCCGCAGCAGCGCGCTCTGAATCCGCAGGGCTTACAGAGCAGCAGAAAGAGACCCCTCACGAATGGAGCTGCAGGGCTTACAGAGCAGCAGACGGCAGAGGAGAGATAATACGTGGCAATCCATGCTGATCGCAATGCTTCGTTGGATGGCTTGGCAGTAGTAGTAGTAGTACCAACAGAATAAGGTCGTTGGTGGTTTGGCAAATACTAGCCAAATGTGTGAATAGCTAATCAGCCATGAAGAGAGGTGAGGTGGTTAGCTTGTAAGTACCCCTTTGCCGACATTGAGCGGTTTTTTCTTCGTCATAGCTTTCCACCAATAAAACACCACCGCTTTCCGTCCCTTTCGCCACGATAACCGCGACGGTCGCTCACGTTTTCCAGCATGCGGCTGATATTCGTCGCACGTCGCGCGACGACTTTGCGGGTCGATAGTCGCCGACCTTCGCCCGTCAGCTGTCGTTCACCGCTCGTCCTCCGTCACGCGCCGCGCGCCGCACGTCGTTCGTCGCTCGTCGCTTGCCGTCGCTCGACTTTGTCGCCATCGCTCGTGTTGCAAACTGTAGTCTTCATTCCCAAACAGCGAATTTGGTACACAGCCGCCCTGTGTCTGTCGAACGAGGCGCGCGGCGAGGGGGAAACGTCTGCTGTACGAAAAAGAATGTTCTTGACCAGCTCAACAGTGAGACGTACTAGGCAGGGAGGTTGGAGCCTTAGTACGCTTCACTGTTGAGTATGCTTGGGTAACGGGTGTAAGATGCTCTCTGGGATATCTGGGATATACAATATGATTCCAACAATTTCACACTACAATCTCTATGATAAGCGTCGCTGTCTTCTCTTTGACGTGCTCACTGTGTTACGGCATATTTCATCCCCACTTCTGCGTGCTTAATATGTGATGATTTTATACAGGGTACCATCCATGCCCAAAACTGTATATAATCATACTGACAAGTGTGCATTGCTTTCAAAAAACATGATTGCCCCATATTCAGTTAGGTTATGCGATTTAAATATACATCATGAAGATTATCCAGAATAATCAGCATACAAACATCACCACTTCGACTACCATGACACATTTGTAAGGTCAACACGTCAAATGTCAATAGCTGGAATTATAACACTATAACGACACTTCACTATAACGATGTTTTGGGCCTCGATATCCCTACCAGAAATATCGGTCCCTCGTGGCATCTGTGCTGCCCTCCCAGTCAGCGCCGTGATTCCTGCCATAGATTTGTGCCAGACCAAGCGAGGTAGTGACGTGGCAAAGATCACACCAAATCTGCCAGTCTAGATGTCGCTGCCCCGAAATCAGCTCGGCTGACCTCAATTACACATGAACCACCTTTTCTAAAGCTGTCAATCCCTTTCTCTCCCACAAATCTCTCTTTTCACATCTGCTACCTCAACCATTCCTTTTACAGTACCCCAAATCTGTGGCAGAAATTCCTTACCGATGTTGAATCTAGATTCTAACGTTTTCAGTTTATGGCATAGAGTCTCCTCTCGGCATCAAGCCTGCCGGTGGATGTCTGTCGGGACTTGCAATCAGCTGCTTAGACCCACGTGAAGGTCTTTTGACAGCAATTAAGAGGAGCCACACGCTGACTCACTCACTCTAGACTGCAAAAAATCTTCCACATCCAGATCCTAGGTTGCTGCCGATATCATATGCTTGCGAGTTTACAAGAGGCTAGAAACCTCCGCTCGAGCGCATCCGGGATGGCTGACGATCCTCCCTCCACCAAGAAGCCTGGTATTTTTGGGCGGCGAACAGGCATGGTGGTGGGTTTGCGCAATACTGTACGCACTGTTGGCGACTACGGAAGTTGGATTGGATGATGACTCAGCTGAGACATGGCGGAGTAGTGCCAGCTCGTTATGGGGAAGGGGACTCGCTTTCCTCCCCCAACTCACCCGCTATGGGAAGAGAAGATCTTTTCTCTCACTCACGCGTCAGACGGGGCAGGAGAAGCTCTTCACACTCCCTTCTCACAGACGACGGGAGAATCCGGAATACGCTAGATTGCGTCACGTGCTCTCGGCTAGATCTTCCCCGTCTCAGCCGATCGGACGAGATAGCGGCATCCGATGTTATAATGACTTACATCGCTATTATACGTGTCCCAACCACACTCACCATCGCGACGGAACGGAAGTGACCTCGCATCTCCGCCTCTCTCCTCGTCTCTCGTCTCTCCCAATGGATATCTCCTTCGGGATTTCTCCCCCCACCGATATCTCCACTGGATATCACCCCCTCCTCCGCGAGTCCCCCAGAGAATTTTCAGACCCCAGGCGGAGTCCCCGTTCCGCCGCTCTGCCGCCTGGCCGCGTCCCCCCCGCAGCTGCTTGCACGCTCTGCCGCGCAGTATTCCTGCATTTCGGTCCTTCTGCTCACACGGACGGTCACCTGCAGCAATGGCCCGTTGCTGCTTCCTCAGGCGTTCCCCCCTTCCTCCTCCGCGGCAGAATCTGGGCCACGTCACATAAGCACGATAAGCGCGTGACATGGTTGCTGCGCAAGGCAGTTCTTCGATGATTTAGACTCCTGCCGCCTGAACCGGACAGGTAGTAATCGCAGTAGTCAGTGTGAAGGCTTCGAGTGATTCTCCCGCGAAAGCCGGGTTGTACTCTGCGTTACCGTTGGTCTGAAGTCTGGAAATTTGCGGAGCGATCGGCTTCATTCCCCCGCGTTCGCCGTTTCTTCGTTTTCCGCACGAAAACATGAGCCCAAGACCATCTTTATCTAAGGACCGCAGCCCGGAACCTCCGCGGTCGGCGGGAGTTGCGCCGACCTTCCCCCTGAAGCCCAGGAGCCCCGCGCGGGGGGGGAAGGAGCCCAAGAAACGCAACGAGCGCGCGGGGAAGGGCTTCAAGGGCGGCCCGCAGAACGCGCTGTTCATGTTCCGCGGGGTTCGGCAGCGCAGCTGGGGGAAGTGGGTGGCGGAGATCCGCGAGCCGCGCAGCAAGCGCCGCCTGTGGCTGGGGTCGTTTCCGCGCGCGGCGGACGCCGCAATGGCGTATGACGTGGCAGCAAGGCGACTGTACGGCTCTGGCGCGAAGCTCAACTTTCATCAGGCCGCAGCAAATGATGCAACTGTCGGTAGCGGCGGTGTCGCTTGCAGCAGCGGCAGCGGCAGCGGCAGCGGCAGCGGCAGCGGCAGCGGCGGTGGTGGCGGCGGCGGCGGCCGTGGCGACCGTGCCAGTAGTCTTGAGGTAGTGGTTGGTTCTGACGCTGACGTTGACGTTGACGTAGACGTAGACGTTGGCAGTGATTGCAAGTCAGGCGAAAGCTGCGAGGCGACTGAGGTTACCACGAGTGGCGGGGAAGGAGCGACCGAGTCAATGGAGTGTGAAAACGACAACAGCAACAACGATGACCCGAGCATACACGGGTCTAGGGTTAACTTATACGAAGGCCTCCAAGCAAAATCGCCTCAAATCTGCTCTGTTCTACCAGTTGATGCTGCTCCTGCCTCTGACCCTTCCAATGCACCTTCCTCTGGTGTTAACCGTGCTGCTGCTGCCGCCGCCGCCGCCGCAGCCTCTGGTTGTAACCGTGCTGGTGCTGGTGCTGTGCAACCTTCGATTGGTGCTGCTACTCTCGCATCAATGCTAGACAGCTCACTGCTAACATCCCCATGGCTTCCAAATATGGCACCGACTGCTGGGACGACACACGACATGACACGTGTATCTCACACCTCCTCCCCATGGCTTAACACACACATGGCCCCGATTTTCGAGACGACTCGAAACTCGTTCCTATGGCCGCCGCACGTGGCATCACCAACAGTACCATCATCTACACCATCATACAGTTCACCATCTATACCTTCATCTACAACACCATGCATAACAACATCTATACCATCATCCATACCATCATGCTCACCATCATCCATACCATCATCCATACCATTAACCGTGTCACACATGTGGACAGGCACACCATCCCAAATGGCATCCACCATTCTTGAACCCAATCCTGCTTCTCTTCTTGCGTCTCATCGCAGCACCCTTTCAATGCCTCGCCCCAGTCCTCCTCCTATCCATGGTTCTGTCAGCACCCCCCTCTCATCCCCACCACCTTCCCGCTTCACCTTCCCCCAGCCACAGAACCAGCGCCAAAGGCTCATGCAGACGCTACAGCACCCTCAGGTGTTAACCCAGGTGCCACAGTCACCACAGGCGCTACAGCACCCGCAGCTGCTGTCTCATGCGCTGCAACAGCCGCAGGTGCTCTCCCATGCTCTGCAGCAACAACTGCAGGCGCTACAGCAGCACTCACCCTCGCTACAGCACCCTCAGTCGCTACAGCAGCACTCACCCGCGCTACAGCAACCTCAGTCGCTACAGCAATCACAGGCGCTTCAACACCCTCAGGTGTTTTTACAAGCACTGCAACAGCCACAGGTGCTCGCCCATACGCTACAGCAGCAGCCAGAGTTTCTATCACCACCGCTACAACCGCCACAGTCGTCAATGCGTGTGCTACAGCCGTCCACTGAAATGGCTGGACTCACGGGAAGCGGAGGTGGGGCACTCCATGATCCGCCCCACTCTATGCTGCTGGCACAGCCGCTACAGCTGCCGGCACAGCCGCTACAGCTGCCGGCACAGCCGCTACAGCTGCCGGCACAGCCGCTACAGCTGCCGGCACAGCCGCTACAGCTGCCGGCACAGCCGCTACAGCTGCCGACACAGCCGCTACAGCTGCCACAGCTGCTGCCACGGCCACTCGCACAGGTGATACTACAGCCGCCTCAGTCACAGGCACATGCGCTACAGACGTCACAGCTACAGCCGCCACAGGCAATACAACTGCCACAGCTGCCGCCACAGGCGCCATCACTCCCCATGGGGTTACCGATATCACCCGGTCTTCAGGACATGCTGATTGGCCAGGAGATTGCACGTCTGTTGGGGAACCCACAAGTGGAAAGCATGACGGGGCGTCAAAGAACGGCTGGTATGCTGCTGGGTGGTTCCCATACGGGCCAAATTCAAGGGCAGTCAGGCTTGCTGTTGCCTGGTGACCCGGGTGTGGTCAGGCCAATCAGGCTTGGAGATTCGAGGCAGCAGGAGGAGGATGCGCATCAGGGAGGGATGGGGATGCAGGAAGGTTTGGGCCGGCAGGAGAGTGTTTTGGAGCATGAAAGGCTGCTGCTGAGGGAACATGAGATGCTGCTGAGGGAGCATGAGAGGAAGGTGATGCAAGAGGTGCTGCTGCTTCAGGAAACTGCCAGTCACGAGACAGTTTTTCCCGCAGCTCAAAACGTGCACGGAGCAGCAAGCCTACAGGAGATTTTGAGGGAGCATGAGTTGAAGGTGGTTCAAGAGGTGATGCTGCTGCAGGAAACCCGGGTGCTGTCACAGCAGGCCTCTGCCTCGTTGTTTGAGGCGCCTCATAGGCAGGCCTCTGCCTTGTCCCCAGCCCTCCCCCAGGGTAATCCAGACAGGCCCTACAGGCTCAGGTTCGGCACTCCCGAACCTGCCAGTGGGGTGCGTAACGAGGTGGTGGGTGGGAGCAACTGCAGTGTAGGACGCAGCAATAGTGATGACAGGCTCAGATATATGAGTAGCAGGGGCAGCAGCTGCAGCGGTGGCAGCAACAACAGCAGCAGCACCACTATTACCACCTCCTCCTCTAGGATGACTCACGGACTGTCTATACCACCTGTGCCTCCTGTATCGGCCACCCCTCCTTTGCCTCCAATGGTTGCCAATTCCGCTCTGGCTGATGCAGCTTTCATGCGATCCGGTCTGCATATGCCAAGCAGCAGTTGTGAGAACTCTCAGCTGGCTTCTGCGGGGATCATTTCACAGAGTGGTTTAGCTGGGGAATTATCAGTGTATCCATCTACCAACCAGTGCACTTTACCTAACGCTCAAGGTCTGCAGCCTCCTACCCTGTGGAGCCAAGCAGCAGCAGCAGCGGCAGCAGCAGCCGCAGCGGGTTTACGCATGCCAGAACCTGCAGCAGAAGCAGCTGTCAAAACCGCAGCAGAAGTAGGTGCATTGATGGGAACAGGGCCGGTAAGACTGTCGACAACAGCAGCAGCAGCAGTGGCAGAAGTAGCAGAAGCAGCAGAAGCAGCAGCACCAGGGGAGTATGGGGATCGGATGCTGTTGTATATGGAAGAGTGGAGAGATACAGGCACTGGTGGTGCTCCATGGGAGCATGGTGGCGGCTCAGGGTGGTGCTAACTTACTGTGTGAGACGTGACATCAAGCAGTGGCAGAAGCAGAAGCAGTTTCAGGGGAGTATGGGGATCGAATGCTGTTGTACATGGAAGGGTGGAGAGATACAGGCACTGGTGGTGTTCCATGGGAGAGTGGAGGCGGCTCTGAGTGGTGCTAACTTATTGTGCGAGGCGTGACAAGAATCTGACTTGAGTGTACACTGTACATATATTCCTGTTGACAAGTGAAAACTGCGTGGTGTAGGATCGCCTTTGTGCGCACTAGTGCCAATCTTTGAAGCTCCCGAGCAGATGGAATTGTGTTCATTGGGCCGCCTTGGTGCGTTCCAGTGCGTTCCAAAGCGGTCCAGTGCGTTCCAGTGCGCGCCAGTGCATCCCACTGCGTGCCAGCGCGTGCCAGCGCCGCACTGGTGCGCATGCCCTGCATTGGTGCGAGGCAGCTGTCGCACCAACTCGCAAAGCTCTCTGGTCCTGGCCCATCTGCACAGCATCGCACGATGAGCCTGGAAACATCACACTTCCGGCCACCCTCTCTGAGTCGCATCATTTCACCCGACGGAAGGCGAAGGTGCTTCTATAATATTACAGAGGTGCCATCTGGATACATGGAATTTCATGCAAGATTTCATGTTGATCCGCATGGCTGGCTCTAACTGGCATACGTTAGTGCAATGAGATGTGCTATCTTTCCAATCCCTGCATCATAAGTGTTACGAATAGTAATACTTGAATATTACTGTGCACTCCTCACCGCAGCAAAGAGAAGCACGCAGTATCGCGAATGAACGCGAAGCGTCAGACGGTTGGAAACGACTCGAAGCGTCAGACAGTTGGGACGCATCTGAACCGTCGGAGCAGACAGCATCAGGCAGCTGCAGGCAGGATGGCTTCGGCGGGAACAGTTTCGTAACTGTTCGCGCCGCACGGTTGGGAATGTATTTGAATAAGGGAATGTACCCCTTAGAGTACATGGCTAGCTAGGTCGTTTCATCTCCGCTGTACTCATATTTATATTTGCTGTATTTGCATGTTTTATTCATCTCAAGCATTTACATTCACTCTGCTATTGAGGTCAAGGACCCACCAACATCACTTCTCTGCGTGCGAACCTTCCTGAGTAGATCCTAGGCCACGATCAACTTCTGATCGCAGCATGGTATGAGAGCAACTCAGGAATCCTTCGCACCGCCATCTTCGAAATCTGCGACATTCGGAAAGTGGCGTCCGGCACACGATCACGTGTAAGAATGGCCGGAGGATCTGGAGGTCAGACGAATCTGACGGCTGAAGCGCAGCCCAACCCGGCTGCGACAAACGAGGAAACGACGATGCGCAAGGGCTCCAGACATTGCGGAATGGCGATGCGGAAACTTCTTCCCAACCCACTCAACCGGCCCCAAACGGCCAAAACTCCGCCCCGCAAGGCTTCTCCCTAGATACGAATGGCTCAACCCCCAAGACTCCCTGTCCCAGCGATGAAGCAATTCTCTCCGCGCAATCAAGGTTTTTGAGCATATAAAAAATAAAGACAAGCGTGTGCTTTGACGGCAGAGACTTTTACACCTGGAGCTTCGAGCTGGAGCTGCTGCTGCAAAACGCGCAGATTTATCATTATTTCGACGAGAGCTACTCGGGACCTGCTGAGGAAACCGACGACGCAAGGACTCGCTATTATAACGAGTCCCTGATGGCGTACGGGATCCTTCTGCATAACATGTCGCCGGCGGAGCAGCTGAACATTCGTTCATACAAGACATCGGCTGCCCCAGCCCTCGACGCTTGGCGCCACCTGAACGGCGTGTATCAGCCCAAGGACTCCGTCTCCTCGAGCCGACTACTCCAGCAACTGCTGGAAACCAAGATTACCTCAGGGGAGAAGGTCAACAGCTACATCAACCGCTGTCGGAGCCTTCGCGATCAAATCGTGAAGTTGGGAAGCTCGAATTCCGAAGAAATCTTCGTGAACATTGTGCTTCAAGGGCTTGGCCCAGAGTGGCGGCCCTGCAAGGCGCTCCTCCGACAGCAGGGGGTCATCTCGGAGGCCGCCCTTTGCGCCGCCCTTCTCGTCGAACAACGGGATATGGATCAGCAGCGACCAGCGCCACGACGAGAACGTGAACGGCTCGCCTTCTACGCCGACAACAACAAAGAGCGACGACCGCGGCGCCTCTACTGCAAAATCTGCAGAAACTTCGGGCATTTGGCGGATCGATGTAAGTTCCGATCTCGCCCTCGCCAGACCAATCCGAGCAACTGGTCCGGCCGACAAGACGCATGAGGCGACGTGCGTCCAGCCCAAGGGTATCAACCCCCACCCGCGCGCAATCTGAACTCAACCGTTCAGCATCAGCAGCAGCAGCCATCAACTGCCCCTACGCGCAACGTCATGAGCAACATGGCCATGACAGGCGAGTCACGTCGTCGCCGTGTTCGCTCACCCTCACCTGAGCCAGCACCGCACCCCATCAGCGCGTTCACCAACAACAACCCGTTCAGCCCGCGCCGCGACTTCAACGACGACGACGACCAGGACTGGAACCTCCCAGTCCAGCTGCTTGAAAGTCCCCCGCACATACCGGACATGCGGGTGGCGCCACTTGATTGGCTCTCGCGCGAGCAATTTCTGAAGTTCGACACCCCGCACATCGTCACACCGCGATTGGCGCTGCTCGCACGTGACGACAACAAGCGCTACAACACCTGGTACCTGGACAGCTGCTGCGGCCAGCATATGGTGGGCTCCGAGCGTTACATATCCAACGCCGTCCCCACCCCTACAGTCACTTACGTCAGTGTGGCGAACAACACGCGCCTGCGCGCAAGCACACAAGGCATTGTCGTGCTCAAAGCATGTGGAAGCCGCACGCACATCAGGCTTAACGATGTGCTGATCGTCCAGAACCTGCGCTTCAACCTCCTGTCCGCCGCACAGCTCATGGACTGCGGCGTCGACCTCAGCACGGATCGCGAGACACGAGACATCCTGCTGCACTACGAATCGCACACATTTCCCCGCAGGCAGATCGGACGAGCGCACTCCGAAAATGGAGTGTATGTCCTAGATTTCGACATTCCCGACTGCAGCGGCGACTCGCACGAGTTGATTGATCTCGTGCCACTGCGCTTCGAGCACATCCACTGCAGGGATTGGAAGCACCCTGACGGCAGACCGTGGGTGCCGCACCATCCCCACCCACGCGAAACGGCGTTACACAACCCTGATCCGGATGGCATCTGCAGGGATTGTTACACGCCGACGACATCAACGAGCACGATTGCCGGCCGCGGACTCGCCGCCATCGCTGAAGCAGAGCGCCACGCGCCCCCAGAGGAAGGGATGTCGCAGCTCGAGCTTGAAGTTACTACCCACGGCATTTTCGGCACGCCAGAGCATCCCCTCATCGGTCCCCCCTCACAGCACCTTCAAGGCATGCTGCGCGGAACTGGCGTCGGCACCTTTGATGCCCATGGCGAGCCGCGACCCTACACCTACGAGAGGTTTCTGGCCATCTACTCTCATCGACGCGACTCATCGAAGAAACTCACCGCGGAGCGAGAGGAAGAATTGGCACGCCGCGAAGCTGAGGAGCTTCGCCAGCAAAGCCTCGCAGAAGCACGTGGGACCTTCGCTTGCGCCACCTGGGGAGCTGAGGCTGAAGAAAGTGCCTCCAATGAAGGAGGGTGGGGGAGCGCCGGAGGATGGGGAGACACCGGCGGAACCTGGGCCAACGCGAGCGGCGGATGGGGCGCCGCAACTAGCGCCGACAATAGCGGCTGGGGTACTTTCCGCGAAGAACGAAAGGGGGGAGAGGATGAAACTGAGGCAACACCTGCAGTCGTTCCTCTTGGCCGTCCCCCGCGTCACATTCCACTCGCACCACCTCCTCCTGACAACCCCCCGCGTCGCGATCCATGGGACACCATCATCTGGGGCAACGAGCCGTCAACCCCGCGTCGCACCGTCTACGGACCTGCCCCTGAGCCATGCGAACCCACCTTCGTCCCTGGAACCATCCCCGGGACCAACATTCTGCTCTCTGAGATTCGCGACAGAGAGTTCTTGGCGCTGATGCTGACCACCGCGCCGGAAGAAGAAGAAGCAGAGGGAGTAGCAGCAGAACCTGCTCCTGTACCTGACGGAGACCCTGAGGAAGCACGCGCACGCTACATACGCACCTCCGGCTTTCGCGCTGACG